TCATCTTTCACAATCGCAGATGTGCATCGCCAAGGAGCTGGGTATACTTTTGAGTAACTGAAAGCTCATCTTATATGCACGAGAGGTTTATTTATTAAGGGAAACTTCGTACAGTCTCTGAGACACTTGTTTGTCATTTGCTGACGAAAGGCTGATCAACAACCACACAGTGAATAAGGGGAAGCATGGAAAGTGCAAATGCAGCATGTCAGCTATTTTTTCTCGCTTTAAGGACGAAACTAAGTTACATCGAGAGAAATGCGCACGTCCTTCTAGCTCAACTTGGCTCATTTATATTATTTTGAGAACTCTTTCTCAAAAAAAAAAGCTTTTTCGGTACTTCTTCCTCTTCACACCCACCTCCAACCTTTTGTGAATTAATGCCAGTTCTGCTTTTTCCTAAACCTGTAATAATTATTACATAACTTGAATCTCGAAAATTTGAGGAGTGTACTTAATTTTTCAAATGGCTTTTACATTGCGTCGTAGCAATGAAAATAAAATTTTGTTTTGCACTCAAACAATTGCCGATGATCAAAGCTGCTTCTTCAAAATCTTGGTAATAATCCCATATTTCAATTTTCGACAATATCAGTGGGGTATTTTGTTTTGAAAAAAAGTTTATTGCGTTGCATTATTGAAATTAATATATTAGCTAACACATGGCGCGCGCACTACGCACCAGTGTGTGGATAGAATTTCGCATGATTGGCATTGCGCTTTCGATAATTATTCGATAGCTTAAATCTCAGACTCTGAAAGATGCACTTTATTTCCCAAAAAGCTTTTATTTTGCGTCGTATCAGTGAAATTAACATGCTATTTCACATATAAGCACTTTTCGCCCAGCAAAAACTTTCTTTCGAAAATTAGGGAACCTTTCGATAGCACAATTTCGGCAAATTTCATGGTATACTTGGTAAAAGAAGCTTTCTATTGCCTCGCAGCACTGGAATTAAAATTGCATTTCACACGCTGCCACATGCGATTTGCACAGGACGATTGATGTGAAACAACCTCACGCCCCACCCTACAAAAAATGTGCATACAATGCGAAACCCAACATACTTTGGCAGTAGCAGTGCACCAAAATAACAATTTTTATTGAAAATCAAGCATAACAATGACATTGTTGAGATTTGTGCTATCGAATGGTTACTAGAAGTCTGAGAAAAAAGTTTTCTGCGCAGGAAAAAATGCTTGGATGTAAATAAGAAATTATTTTCACTATTACGGCTCAACAAAAAAGCCACTTGAAAATCAAATATACTACTTCAAATTTTCAAAATTTAGGCTGTCGTATGACCACTGAACCGTTGATAAAAAGGAAAAGCACGTTTTTTTTCAACAAAGGGTTGAAAATGAGTGCGGATAGGGGAAAAGTATCTTTTTTATTGCATTTTAGTGTTTTCAAAAGCTGTGATTTCCACGTATCAGCTACAGTGCACAACATAAACAAACTTTCCACCATTTTCAATCTTGAGCATACATTTTTACACTGCGGTTCTCTAACCTTAGTTTCCTTAGTCAGATGACAGATGTCCACGATCCAGTTCTCAGAGCTCTGCCGATGCTTTAGTTCGGCATTACCTAATCCTATTTGATTATGAATGGAAAATAGAACACTCTGACGTGGATAACCAGTGTGCTTTTCTCAAATGTTTTTTTTTTGTTAGAGCTTGAAAAGGATCATCAACATCATTCACAAGTTTTAGCGATCAAACTGCTATTAATTTTTCTAATTTAAAACAGTCTATAGCAGTATACGTCAACTTATCCACATAAACACATGTAGGTCAGGTTGATTAGTAGCACGCGTCAAAGCTTTACCGTTTTCTTTCAATAGAAGGCCGGAAGGAAAAACAGCTGTGTTGATGATCAAGGGATCTGAGGGAACAAATATCCTATCCTCGCTTAATCCTCATAAACGTTTTCGCAAATACCATCTTGTCATAGCTCAAATTTAATTAAGAGTCGGAATTTCAAGTACTTTTTACTGCATTTTGCGGAGTGTTATTATGCTTCATATATACCTAACAGAATTGAATGGTGAGCAAAAACGCGGCTTCAGGCGGAACCGAAGCCGGGGACGGTATGGATGAAAACGCGTATTCGATTCTCGCCTGAGGCCGCGTTTTTGCTTACCAATCAATTCTCTTAGGTCTATATTAGTTGATAGTTTCAACAAAATATCTTCGTTTTTAAACCTTATCTCAAATAGGCTTATTAATTTCATAAAATTCATGTTTCATCGTCCAATGTATGACTTTATAAATCACTGTAAAAACAAGCAGTGTTCAAATGCCGATGGTGATTCGGCAAGAACTTCTTTCTAACACAGACGAACTATTCTGTTATGGTGTAATGAAGAAAAATTTGGCTTCAGATTAGCTGAATGAGAGATGAAGAATGAAGTATTGCTATAAATGAAAACTTCAAATGATCATCGCAAAACGTGCGAATTGAACCTGTGCTTTTTGATGTGTAGCATATTTCTGATATCTGGTGAAGGTGATCCCATCATTTCCGCCAAGATAAAGGAAACATGTGGTCTGTAGCCGATTCCTGAGGACAAGTGATACGAGCGAATTAAGCAAGTGAGTGGATAGATAAATTTTATTTATAAGAAAATGTCAGAGCTAACCATTCTGAAAAGTCGTTGAGTTCGTTCCATCACAAAAATGTGATTGATAGTAATGTACTGAACCCATATAGATGAAAATGAGACCAGAGAGTAAATTTAAACCAAGGACGTAAAAGGATAAAGAGATCTTGCGTTAATCAATCCCTAAGGGATGCGCCATGCATTCATCTTATATTTTGCTTCGTTCGACGTAGAGGATTGAATGCATATGGCCTATAAATGACTCGCGATGGACTCCCGCTGTAACGAAACTGTGCCGCTTATCCTCCCAGACAAGTTTGAGGACCAGTCTGGTACCAATCTATCGACCCCGGAGGGATAGAGGGCTTGGTGTGCCATGAGCGCGCGATCTGACCGTCGACCTTTGTGCGACGTAGAGCACCTGTAACCACTGCTCAACATGCGCCCCGAATCGATGCCATAGCATTTGCAAATCTAACATCTGTGCTATACGAGCCCTCACCTTTACTGATTATTACATTACCACACCTGCTATTGTTTGACCATAAATGTTCATGACAAATCGCTTTTATTCGTATATAAATTCTTCGAATTCATTGACAACGAAAAATCAAACGTTTAGCAGACGAAAAAAGAAGAAAGTAACATGAGTTCTCAGTGTATCGATACGTACGGTGAAAACATCTTTGAAGAAAGGTGTGCGAAAGCCTGAAGGTGCAGTGCATATTACGTGAACTCCCAAAAACGGTAATCACTTTTCAAAGCCATCGGCTAGCAGGTTTGTTGGTATTTCAGTTTCCTAGTGATTACATTTCCAGTGCAATTGAGAGTTCTTGCAACTGATCTCAATTCTCTTTTCGCTGTTTAAATGTCTCTTGTAATTTCTAAGTGGCTGTTGGACATGACATCCGGAGAAAATCTCAGGCTATTGCTGATTGGTATGTGGAAAAATTGGTTGAAACTTTAACTTTTAGAAGGCAGAGTTTATGAACGAAATTGTTATTAGGGAAATCTCTAAGATAAAATTGAAGATAAACTATTTGAAAGCAAAGTACATTTTGCTTATGAATGATCTCCGGAGAATTTTTGTACACTTTTGTGCGTTACCAGCTATAAAAGAATTCATAGAAAGGAAACAAATCACGCTTTACAATGAATCGCTGATACGTTGACCATTTCTCGGTATCTCAACTGGGTGGACCTGCTCGATGGAAGCGAGTAGCACTGTTGTGCGATCTCGTTGACAGCGCAGTATATCTTGGCGGAGGTCCTACTCGACCTCCAGCTCTCCAAATCTTTCAGGTGTCTTCACTCCACGAAGAGAGCTGTAGCACGACTATTTCAGGAATCCGGGAAGAATAGGGTCTATCAGCATGCAATGAACTTCTCTATGACGGCGAAGATTTTTGAAAGCACACAGACCATATGTTAAAAAAAAACGTCAAAGGCTTTCGTGGACGGTGGATGCAAGGAGATGAGTCAAATAAAAGTGATATGATCCGCCCCTTATATGATAGATGATACATGTAATATGTAAAAACGAACCCTTGGGCTACGGTTTTTCCAGCGGATTATGAAGAATGGCGGTGAAGGCCATTACGAAAGTGTTCGTAACATCAACGTGCCAAATTAAGTTTTGAATAAATTGAGACCACCGATTTCTTGAACGCTGTTGCCTTCGAGGAGACTGAATAACGTTTTTGCCATATCACAAAGACCAACTTTTAATTAATTCGGGTACTGGATTTATTTATTTAGTAGGCAGTGTATTTGTGGAGCTGGATTCGAGACTACTATCACGTGTTCTGCATATTTCGTGACTTATGGCCATTTTATATGATTCGCATAGATTGATGATTTTCTAGTCACGTTTTTACTTTGTAGAAAGACTATCCTTCACGTGGTTGACGGTTAGATAAATGGAGATATCTTGCCAAATCAAACCATTGTTGGCCTAAATTCTTTCTATTTTGACTGCCACTTGCAGTGGTATGATGTTATAGTATACCCAATATGTGCAGTGCTGTGCAAAAACGTTTGCGTTAGCCGGGATTCGAACGCAGATCTCACTCTTTCCGGGAGCGTATGCTAATCGTTGCACTACCGACTCTCGTTTTGCGCAGAACTCTTATTTACGCTATAACGCGTTGTCTGCGGACAATTGGCTGTTGGCACACAAACGTTTTTGCACAGCTCTCCACATATTGGGTATACTATAACATCATATCACTGCAAGTGGCAGTCAAATAGAAAGAATCAGACTGATTATCGATATCCAATGTCTGTCAACACAAGTGGGTTCAATGCCGATAGCGCCTGGCCCGCCAGACCGTCGACGGTTGGCAGTTGGCAGACAACGCGTTATAGCGTAAATAAGAGTGCTTGCGCAAAACGAGCGTCGGTAGTGCAACGGTTAGCATGCGCTCCCGGAAAGAGTGAGATCTGGGTTCGAATCCCGGCTGACGCAAACGTTTTTGCATAGCACTCCACATAGTTGGGCATACCGAGTGAATGATAAAAACAAGATAAAACAACAGTTCAAACATTACACTTCTATGAATTCAAGTTCAGACGTCTATAGCTTGAACAATCCAAAACATTAGGAAGATATGGATTCAAAGAGTCAACGAACGCATTGTGCGACGCTGACTCTGGTATTTTTATCGTCTACAACGGTTGTTTTCTGCAGTATGAAAGAATTTGTGAACTTCTTTTGTCCTATGAACGCTCCATTTTAGTCAGTTTTTTCTTCTATTACAAGGCGGATTATTGCCAAAGGCTGCACTATTTCGTGGACACTTGAATACGGCCGTAGCATGACTTGCTTTCTGAATGAAATGATTGCCGCGGAGTGATGCTTCGATGTCCACACCCTTGCATTAACCGACTACGACCGCTCTGCATGCGTGACCATGTGCGAAAGTCTTCTGCTGCAACCTCAAAAGCAAGGCTTTTTTAAGTCGATCATCTTATAGATGAAACCTGGATATACTACTACTTCTCCGTTACATGAATCTGTTCGTGATTATTATGCTGCCACATGAGCTAGTGCTCAAGCACCGACTGAATCGAAGCACCGAAGTTATAGGATTCGCCATCGTTTCCAAAGAGTTTTGATTTACAAATCGTATTTATAGTTAACTCACAAGAGTTAATAAATAATTACAGCGGCGACTCTAAACGTTGTGGTATGGTAATCTCATAGCTACCATATTCACAAAAAATTCTACTAAACAAGGACATTCTAGTGAAACTGCACGCACGCCAGTGAATCTCTATACAATATCGGTGATAATCAAAGCTAAGTAGTAGCAGCGGATTGATGGTGCAGTTAATCAGGAAGATAAAATAGTTCGAATTCTCTGCGACCTTGTCGTGCAACTCCGTGGGAACTGCCCTAGCATGGCTAGGTCCAATATGACAAAGTGAATAGACTTAACCAGCATTTTACGACATTCAAAAGAGTGCGAAATTCTCAGACAGCAGTCGAAATAAGATTACAAATGTTCAAGAGCTTTTCATATCTTTATCGCTCCAGCATCAGATTCTGCTTAAATAGGTCGACTCTTTTGAAAAGTGCCATGAACAGTTGTATTCAGACGTTCGGTCCCTATGCATCTCAATATTAACGTGGTTTCAAACATTCTATTCCTTAGTGACCAAACAATTGCGTTATAATGTGCAAACGACAACAATAGTGCGTATTGAAATTATCCTATTTGCTCAAACAAGGGAGCAATGACAATACGTTCCAACGTGCCAATGAAAATTTTTCGGACTGTACATAACATTACTGTCAAACTCCAACTAGCCGTCATCCTTGCATGATGTCTGTACCTAGTTCAAGAATATGAAATTCTGAGCAAGGCTGATTACATATGAGTGTAATATTTCGCTTTCTGACTTATTCAACATATACTCAGGGTATGGCAATTGCAACATAGGGTATATTTGAGAGCAACACGCGAATACGAAAGGTTTTTACAGAATCAATCGCTGAGCTATTATGTGATATTTCAGCCTGTTCAACTTTCCAACTGCTCAACATTTACGTTGTTTACATCTCCTCACTTCATACCCACAGTTATAGCTCTTCTCCTTAGTTGTATTATTCAACAATGAAGCAATCCCCTTTTGTTGGCCTCTCCAAAATGTACTGACAACATTTTCGGATTCAGCATTAAAGCTATCTTCAGTTGACTTATTGTAGTCTTTCTTCTATATTGTTGAATTTTTAAATATACAACGCTGGCTATTGCTTGTTTTTCAACGGAGGAAAAATTGGATCTTGAGAGTGCTTTGTGTGCTTTAAAATGTTTTTTCCTCCCTGTTAGATATTCTTCATTGTTTCTTCTAGACACTCCAATTCTTGAACGATATAATTGGAAAGTTTTGGAGATAAATTGCAATGCTGATAAGGGCGTGAGACGTGTTTTTGAGTCTCACGTTTTCCTGGATTTTATAAATGTCCAGTAGCTGAAGAGATTTTCGAACGCCTTTATTAGAGGTAAAACTCAAACACAAAGAGAGTTTTTGCACTCCCCATCGCATTCGCTACATGGTGTACCATTTTTGTAGATTGGGATGCCAACATTGACATGTCTAAAGATGCATATAGTTTGAGCCACGTTAACAAAACGTTACGGATCACTTACGGTTTTCCATATTGACAGACAAATGACACAAAAGATCGATTACATATGCTATACGCGCATCCGAGTTTCGTCGTTGCAGCATTCGCCATCTAAAAATCTTCACTAAGATTTTTTCATACATTTTGATCTCTATCATCAGGAGCTAAAAAATTGAACTGCGTTACATCAGCTCATGTATTTTGTCAAGAGTCGATGGTTCCTTTTTGAGCTTAAACAATGATCTCTGTTTTCTTTCTCTCTGCAGTTTTTTAACAAATCATCGTCACCTGGAGAAAAGGGATCTTTCGGCTATCATTATACGTTGGGGTGAGATTAACGAGAGGTGTGTCATTTATTGATGTGTTCCACCATCCATACACTGACTGAAAAGTAGAGTGGCGAAATGAGTGGAGCGAAATGCATTATATTCGAACAATTCTACTACAGTGTTATAGAGTGATGTGCAAAACTTTAGCGCCAGGCGGGACTAAAACCCGCACCTCAACTCTTCCCGGGAATGCGTGCTCAATCCGTTCCACTACTGACGCCTATTTTGCACATCGCTCTTTCTACACTAAATCGCACCGATCTGTCAGCCGCCAGCCGTCAATGGCCTGGTCCGGATAGTCGGTCTCGACATTGAACCCAGTCACGCTGACAGATAATGGGATCAAATGAAATGTTCATATTTAACCGCTTTTTCGCGATGGTATGATGTGATAAATATATACCCAGTATTATAGTTTAATTGATTAAGTTTTGCACATTACTCTATAACACTGAGTATATATTTATAACATCATACCACCGCAAAAAAGCTTACAAATATAAACAATTTTATTTGATCAGTAGCTTTACTACATTCATAAACAGATGCGATAAATTTTTTTCCATGTAAAAAATGACAAGAAAAGAGTTTTTCGAGGAAAAATTGTAAGAGGAAGACTTTAACTCACATCTGCCAATTCATCAGAGAGTAGATAGGTAAGAAGGTCGTGATTGTAGCTATAATTCAAATTAAAGGTGGCATAATTGGCACCGACGTGATCAAAGTTAGGATCAGTTACATTAAGGCACTGTTTGGAGATGTTGCGTGCAGTCTCCTCTAACTGGCATTCGTATTTCTGAAAAAAAAATACGCAGACATAATGCTGCTCTAGAATATTCTTGATTCATGTTTGCTACAACAAATTACTCTACTAGAGCGCTCATGCTGCTGGCCGTGGGAAAAGTTTGGTTCCCGATGTTGCCATTCTTCTGCGTTCCATTCGCAAGTTTACTCCTAGAAATAATCATTTTCATATGGCCGACGTACCGTATCAACAATCGCTCCGCCTCATATCTGAAAACAGACCTCAGTTTGTTGTGTTTGCCCAAAAGCGCCCATTTCACGACGAGCCAAGCATAATCCGAGTAATCCAAATCACCACAAAGTGCTTCTATAAGGCAGGAAATACGCATATGAGCAATAGCACTGAACATTTAGGTGATAAACCAAAGACTTGGAAACCTGTTTGATATAAATCCACTGAAAGTGAGTAGGTTACTTGGAATCCCTGCAAAGAATATTTTATAATTCCAACTCAGTATCATTTAACACCATCAAACCCACCAATATTAGGACACAAATAGCGGCGAGTAGATTCATTGGCATGGAATGATTTCTCGGCCTACCAGGCATCTTTTATACAATTCAAAAGTTCGACTTTCTATAAACCTCGGCATAATCAATTGATATATGAAAATGGAGAAAACTTATCTTGATTAGCTGACGCGAGGTTGGTAAAGTAGTTGTAGAAATTTGGCTGACGTTTCGGCGACCCGCCTTCTTCAGAGCCTGGGCGTATGTAGTGTTAGTCTATTTGAATGATTCGGATGGTCTTATTTATATGCTGCCTAGGTCAAGTTAGAAGATAAAACGAAGAAAGGGCGCGAGATCTCGTGTGATGGTGACACATTCTTCCTTTCGGTTCATTTCGGGGTTTTTGGCGTTTATCCAAAATGCCTCAAGAGTCTTGCGCGTGGACGCTTTTGATTCCTGCGCCAGGATTGTGACAGTCACATCAAAATCCTTGTTGTTGTGTTTTTGTGCCCTATGTAAACCTAAAGGTTTGATTTTATCTATTTTAGATTTACTGTCTAGATGTTCTTTTATGCGGATGAAAAGTGGTCTTCCCGTTTCGCCTATATATTCTTCCCCGCATGTTTTACATGTTACCAAATAAATTGTGCCTGACCTCATACAATCCCCCTCTTTTCCATTGGGGCAGATCTGTACAGTTGTTGGTGTTGCACAATCGATCATAGAGTCTATTGCGGATCAGCTGATGGCGTAGAGTGGGAGGTGGGGTTTCGATAATTACCACGGAATTTTCAAGACCGCATCTCTTTAGGCACCTTTTAACCGCGCTACTAATCTCGTTTGATATAAATGGCAATTTGAAGGGGACTCTATTCTGGACGCGGAGTTTTGAAGTGTTGAACGGACAGTCAGAGCATATCAAATTTACGCGAGAAAGTCCAAACGGGGGCTGGCTTCCATTCTTAAACATCCAAGTAAAGCTCTTGGATAGTGGCTATAGTACAAAGTGGTATCGAAAACCAAGTAACAAGAACATTTTGGTCAATTACCTCTCCTCTCATCCTTCACACATGAAAAAATCGCTAATTAAAAACATGTTTCGAACAGCTAAAAGTGTGTGCACAGGAGAGGAGGAAAGGAACGAATCATTAGACTTGGCACGAAAAATCGCCATTTCCAACGGCTACAAAACATGTGCCACTAGGGAATATTCAAAAAGTGGAATTAGGTCACAAAAGAACAATACTCCGC